ATATAATTAACAGATTGTTAGGGACTTTGATCAAAGGGCTCCATTAGAGCCGTCACCACCACCCTTATTCCAACAGGTTGATGCTGGGATCACAATTGGTGAAGCACTTGAAGCCACTGCCCTATCATGTGGGCAGAAGCCTGTTGAATGGAGTGATGCAGCAGCAATTCAAGCAGCTGAAGTAAGAGCCATTGGCCGGACAACCATTACTCCTGGTGGAGTTGCAGCCGCGGCCCAGTCAGCAGCAACCATCAATGCAAGAATGACGAAGGACGATGACAAGACAAAACTATCAGATGTTCTTGCAGTAAGTGCATAAACAAATGACAATTAGCTTAGTGTGATTAAGGGAGCCCCAATAACATATAATTTGTTGCAGGATGCAACTTCAAAGTTACCAGCAGATAAGACGGCGACGAGAAAAGATGCTGAAGGGGTGACAGGAGCAGAAATGAGGAACGATCCATTCTTGACTACACACCCTGCTGGTGTGGCTGCTTCTGTGGCTGCTGCTGCAAGGCTCAACCAGCAGAGTAATACTAAAAATAAGAAAGAATCTTAAGTTGCTAGAGATTTATTTTTTGGTATAATCATGTGTCTGTTATTTCTGATAGGCTATGAAATAAATTACTTGAGAGTCAAGTTTTGTTACCTTCCGCACTGTATGGTTCTGCATGATTGCGTCTGGGATAAAGAAAGGAACGGATTAATAATTCTCCCTCTCTCTGTTCTCGTTATCTCCCATGTCCTCCTGTCTTTTCGAGACATTACATGAATTGAGGAGCACTAAATCATCATCAAAACGATATGAGCAGCATTACTGAATGATCAGGGTTCTGTCTTAAAATGATTAGTGGCGAAAGAGACTGAATGCCATAGCAAAATTGTGTCCCGTTGATCTCTTGAATCTTGGAACTCTCTTAATTCTTTTGCAGACGAGGATTTAGCACCCCTTGAAGAGTGCAGATCCTCGTGTAAATTAGGTCATGATTTTCAATTGTGACTAGCATCGCTAAAGCCAAAAAAAAATAAATTTAAGTCTCGTAAAATTAATCTTGATAGGCAATCATTTAAGAGGATCAAAGAATTTATTTCAAGGTACAGAGCAGCCAAGGCCCGAGAGGACAAATTAAAGAAGGCAATAAACTAATCAAACAATTAAGATTTAATCTTCATTTGTATCGACTGGGAAAGCACGCAGCTGTTGTTGCTTCAGGCATTGCCAGGGGATCAATAACCAAATTATGGTAAAGCATATCTCACCGTGTTATTACGAGCTCACAAAAAGAGGAAAATAAAGCAAGCAGATGTGGATGCCTTTCATGATTCTCATCATCTCAAATAAAGATGCAATGGTAGCACAGATGCTGTTTCCGAGTGGATTGTCAGACGAGCCAGTTCTGTTGATTGTTTTACATGCACTAAGTGCAGAGCAAAACGTGAAAGGATCAAAAGAATTGTACGGGAAAGACAACTTTTATTAATTGCGTAACTCTCTTAAATAGAGATAGAGTTTTAGTTTAACTCAAAGACTATCAAAACTGAAGATTACATAACAAACAAATCAAAAAAATTCAAACAGTTTTATTCCTAAAGCCTTGGTCTTCTAGTAGAGATCTTCCAGCCAATCCTCACCATCAGCAAACCTCCTGATCTTCTGCAGCTTTTAAGGCATTCTTTCAACAAGCTCTTGAAGGGCGTAGGTTGTTTCTTCAAGGCTTCTTGTTGGCAGCGGACGTTCACCTGCAGGAACAAATGCATAGTTCAACAAGCATAAAGAAGTGCAGCAAACAAATAACGTGCTGAAAATTTGCAGAGGCAGAAGCTACATGCCTAGGTCATTCTCATCGATCAAAAATCTTTAAAAGATGCATGCACATATGGCCAAAAGTACCACGATTGAGATTTTGCTGACTTCAGATCTTGTCATGTTCCGGCCACTGGCTTCATCACAACTGAAAACACAAAATTGGTAAATCAAAATCCTGAATGAAACAAACTTTTTATCAGGCTATCTTGTAAAACGTTTGGGAAAAATATTTATTTTAGTCTCTATACTTTACAAATTATAGATATTGGATCCGGAAAAATCAATTTTGATCCAAAACTTTTTTTTAGCCCCTAGTGTGATAAAGATGAGAGAAAGTCATCATATTCATATTAGAAAGAGATAATTTATGTTAGTGCCAATTCCAACCAAAACAGTTGAAATTGATGCTAAATTATTTCTCTTGATAAGTAAAGCTTACATTACAAGTTTTTTTTACCTTGAGGTTTCCAAGAAAAACAAATATGATCTTGATAAGATTTCCAAGATTGAAAATTCAGTTTGAGAATTGAAAAACCATCCCCGCCTCCCCCCCAATGAAATATGACCTTGACCAAGAAAAAAATTGATTGAAAATTCATGAGTAGAAAAAGAGTAACACAAACCATTTTAAAAAAAATCCGGATGAAAGACATATCATCCATTTCAAATGCGAAAACAAAAAAATAAACCTAAATATACAAACCCTAACAAAATCAGTTAAACCTCGCAACACCTAATATTTTCTATTCTTTAAATTGTTTTTTACTTAGATTAATATCTCTTCTTTTTTTCATTTTATTAGCGAGCCTCTTTTTAAATGTTTATTTTTTTATGTTATTTTATATACATTTAATTTTTGAAGAGATCTTCCAAATTAATCTATATTTTTGTTTTATCTTTTATATAGATAAACTCTATTTTTAAAAATAAAATATATTTATTTTTAAATAATATTTTTAATATATATAACCTTGTATAATTTTTTTCTTTTCTTTTATTCAATCAATTTAATATATATATTTATTTCTATTATCATTTGATTAAATAAAAAAATTATTTTAATAAATAAATTTGGCAAACATAACCAAACAAATATTTTATTTTATAAAATTAAATATCTTAAATTATATTTATCTCTCAATTATTTTATTTATTTATTAATACATATAGTTCTAGAAATTTTCTCCAATAAGAAGGGTCAATAAATAAATAAATAGGCGATGCAACAGCAATATTTAATATGACGCATGGGCATACCAAACAGCAATACATTCCTGAAGAAGAAACCAGAGCAACCTACACAAAAACACAAAGATTCTGCATTTGAGATTGGAGGACGAAATAGTACAAGGAAAAGGTTTTTACTTCCTAAGATGTTAAATGGGAAAAAAACACCAAAGACAAGGAGGTAAAGCAACAAACAAAATCCCTAAAGCTTCCCTAATCGAACACACAGTCAAGAATGAGAGGAAAAACCCATTGAATTGACAACTTGCTCAATCTTGGTCTCTGGCCTTTAAATCCTTCAATCTTAGGCCTTGATTAGACAATGTTGTTAACAACATTTGTCTTTATTTGTTAGTGTTCTCCAAAATTTGTGTAGCATCTCAAGTATCATAGGTCATCTTTTCTGCCTCTTCCCTAACGGAATCAAACAGCACAGAAGACAAATAGCGCTCGCCAGCGCTGGGGAAAATCACCTGCATGAAAAACAAAATGCATGACTAAGTAAATGGTATTGGATTTGGTGTGTGTGTGTGTGAGAGAGAGAGATTCTAAATTACAAGGCAATTCAAGTGCCAAATTTAAAGAAGCAAAATCACACTTACGACGATGAGTTTCCCAGCATTTTCTGGCCTCTTTGCCACCTTTATTGCCGCAGCTGCTGCAGCACCAGATGAAATCCCTACCTGTGTGGGAAAAGAGATAATCATAACGTGAAAGCAAGGTGGACCGAATGCAAAGTCTCTTGTGATAATAGAAAAGGGACTGTCATTTTTGAAGACCATCAATGGTAAGTATTAAACTTGTTCAATGAATGCTAGCAAGAATACTTGATACAGGGTACTGTCTCGACCAGAATTTTCTTATCAAGCCTATATATGCCATGTACTCTGCATTGTTGGTGTGAGCCAATAAATCACTGAGAAATTGTAGAGAATGATTGAGAGCCCTTTGCCTCTCGTCTTTATACAAAACAACAAAACAAATGAGATAGTACTTGTTGACTTACCAGCAAACCTTCATTCAAGGCAAGCAGTTTAGCAGTTTTAATGGCTTCCTCACTTGACACCTAAAGAGTCAAAGCAACTCTAAAGTTAAAGAGAGTAATATGTTCATATCGTTTTTGTTTTAAGAGAGATTCTCCTCTTCTGTGCTATCAGAAAGAGAAAACTAAAACCAGAAAAAAGAGTTCCCCAAAGAAAGAAACTCCTGTTTAGACTAGTTCTAAAAAACCATCTCAACCCAATAATTTAAGTTGTTAGGTGAGGTCTCAAGATATGATTTATATAATTCTCTAATATTTATGAGGTCCTGAAACGCACAAGAATTACAGTCAAATAAGCATCAAACTGTGATGTCTGAATGACAAAGAAACTACTCCAATATTAAAGTTGTGGGGTTGCATAGCCACTCTGGGTTAGGATCATGAACTTGTTAAAGACATGCATGCAAGCCCAAAGAGAAAAATTGTGCTCCATAGAAAGGGCCCTGCCAAGGTCAAACCTAGAATGGGATTTTGGATAATTCTCTGGGTGAACTGATTCTTGAACATCGAAAAAGGATATAACAAGACTGCAGCTCAAGCAGATGATTATGCATGTTCAATTCAGTGACAGTGGAATAAGAACGGATTTTACACTTACTTGAACAACTTCATCAAGTAAGTCAACATCCAATACAGGAGGGACAACACCAGCACCAATCCCTTGGATCCAATGCGAACCTTTCACATGTGAAAATGCGTCAGTAATTAAGGTCAACATTTGTGAATATTACCATCTTAGTTAAAAGTTAAAATGCAATCAGATCAGCAGCACATCTCCATGATCAACTAGATGACTAACAATCTGCAAATTTATTACTACATAGTAGTCCTAGTCAGTTAATCAACAGTGCACATCTAGTTTGGTAATCAATCTATGCTTCCTCTTCTTTTAAATATAGTAACAGTAAAGTTGTGAAATCTGAATTACAAGTTTCCTTGTGCAGTTTTAAATAGCTATAAAATTGAGAATGACATAAAGAGTTCCCACCAGGTTTTCCTCCATTCAAGACTGCACTTTCTGTTGGTTCTACACCATACACCTAGACATAAACAAGTGAAAAATATCATTAACATAGCCAGTCACCATGCTGTCTTGTTCTATCTGTCACAAATCAAACAGAAGACTACCTTAATCTCTGGGTTTTTCTCTTTAAGGAACTTCCCAGCTCCAGTTACTGTACCACCAGTCCCTATTCCAGCAACAAATGCATCGACTTTCCCTCTCGAGTCCTTCCATATTTCTGGGCCTGTGGTTTCATAATGAATCTGCTCAAAAGATAACAAACTTAGAGATGCAGCATTCCAGTATCCATTTCCCACCACAAGATGTTGTCGCATAGAATACCTGTGGATTGGCAGGATTTTCAAATTGCCGAAGCATATAGCCATTGGGAGTATTATTTAAAATCTCATCAGACTTGTCAAGAACCCCTTGAAAGCCCTTTGCTGGATCTGTGAGGCACACCTCGGCTCCTAAAGCTCTCAGCACAATTCTTCTCTCAAGACTCATTGTCGCTGGCATTACGAGGATAGCCTTGTACCCCTTCACTGCAGCAATAAATGCCACTCCAATGCCAGTGTTACCACTGGTAGGCTCAATGAGCACGGTCTAAAACAAATTTGATGGTACATGGCCAGAAAAGGGTTAAGGAAAATTGTAAGTTTCAAAATTCAAAATATAGCGATCACCTATCCAAACCATTCACGTGCACACATCACTTAAAGGAGTAAAATTCCACAAACATCCATTCTCAATATTTCAGAAATCTAGATAGGTCTGATGTGAGGTTACCTTACATCATGGACTTGAAATGGACTCTAGTAGCATATCACAATTCTTACAAAACATCTATAGCTAATTAGCTATGGAGGACTCTACAACTAACCTTGCCTGGCGTAATAAGGCCCTTATCTTCTGCATCTTTGATCATGCTATGTCCAATCCTACATGTCAAAAAATGATTAATCAAATGAGCTGAATCCAGAATAAAAAAATAAAACCAGTAAATAGAAACTTAAGGGAACAAGTCGCATGCCTGTCTTTAACACTGGAAAGAGGTTCCATCATTTCTAGCTTGGCAGCGATTTGGGCTACGCAGCCATCCACAACATTGTTGAGATATACCATCGGGGTATTTCCTATTAACTACAGAAACACTTCAGAAATCAGAAAGGAAACACACTAACAACAACAACAACAGCAATCATTCCCAACTAGCAAAGAAATTAAACAAACTGAAATTAAGATCATTGTTATTTAACCTAAAAAAGAAAACATCAGAAGTGTAAAGTAATCATGAAGAAAAATGACCTCAGTGACATCTTTCTTAATTGCACAATTGTCCTCCATTTTTCCTACACAACCAGGATACAGATAAAAAAATGTGAGATTGGAGAAACTATGCGAGAAAAAAAATTTAAAACTTAACAGTCACAATTCCTCTCATCAAAATGATCTCTTCAATCAGTTCTATAATTAGTTTTGCATGGCAGTAAAAAAGCTGGAATTTAGGACCTAAAAACAAAGTTAAGCAAACAACAAAACATTTTAATAAAGTAGTAAACTAGAAAATTAACCAGGCAATTTCGATATCATATATAAAACTAACCACTAAATGGATATATCTCTTGACAGTATAAGACTTCACGAAAAGATTCATAGAAAGGAAGCACACAATACTGGAATTACTCCAATTACTAGATAGATACTTGTAATCACCAAAAGCTTTTAGTCAATGTCACAAGGGAAAGATACGTCCAAGCCTAGGGGATTTTAGAAATCTAGTCAGCTTGAAAGGGATGCAGAGTTGAAGAAAAACCTACCCAGAGGGCCTTCAAAAGTCAAATGATATGCTTGTGATGTAAAACAGGAGGACGAAACAGCGAAATAACTTTGAAATGTCAAATACCCAGTACAGAAACCATAAAAATTGCAGATTTTGATCCAGTCAAAATAGTGTCAAACCCGCCTTATTCAAGCACCGATATCAGCAGTAGAGAAATGTCAAACTTTCCTATGCCAGTAATTGACAACAACACCACGTCTATTGACAACCACAAAAGTCCTGAGCATGTTATTTGTTTATTTATTAGGATAAAACACGAGGACTTCCAAACAGCATCCAATGGATATAACATGTGTTTTAAAATATTTTTTAATGAAAAATATATTAAAATGATTATTTATTTATTTTTAATATTAATTTTTGATATTAATATATTAAAACAGTTTAATTATAACAAGAAATAAAAAAAATTAAAACACAAAAACAACAAACACGCAATGGAATCTTTATCTCTAAAGATAAGCAATATGTGACATGGAGTTCGTTGTGTGTTATGGGATGATAAATAAAATATAAATACAGATATTCATTCATGCAGGTTAGAGAATAATATAAAACATATTCTAGAATTTAATATAATGATTTAAACTATTGGGTTAATATGATTCTTTAATATGGTATCAGAGCTTTGATAACCAAGCGATCACGAGTTCGAATCTCACCATTCTTATTTATTTAATAAAAAATAAGCAAAATATAATATAGATCTGTGCAAGTTCAAACTTATAGAGCTTTCACTTGAGAGGGTGTGTTACAGAATAATATAAAACATATTTTAGGACCTAACCTAATAGATTTGCTATTGGATTGGTATGGTTCTTTAACGAGATCACATATATTTATATTGGTCACAGTACAATTCAGGAGAGTCAATTACAGCTATGTAGTCTATGGAATGTACATGGAAAGCAAATGATCCGGGGATGAATACACGTTGAGCCTCGTTGAGCTTGTCTCTCAGGAAGGCAAATCAAGTTGACATAATTGGTTTACTGGGTATAAAGCGAATGTCAAGAGTTTTTTGCTGAACTTTTTCCCTGACAAAATGATAGTTGATCTCCACGTGCTTAGTGCATGCATGGAAGATTGGATTGGCTGTGAAATATATGGCATAAATGTTGTCACACCATGGTATTGGACATTGGGCTAAAACAATACGAATTTCACGCAGCAAGGATTGTACCCAAAGTGACTCAGCTGTGGCATGTGCAATTGCACGGTACTCAATTTTAGTGCTGGAACGTGTCATAATTGGTTGTTTCTTAGAGCTCAATGAGATTAAGTTGTCACCAAGATACAGGCAGAAACCTGAGGTGGACTTTCGATCGTTTGGACAGCCCGCCCAATTAGCATCGGAGTAGATAGAAAGCTGTGTTGAGTTGTTTGGCTTAATAAGTAATTCGAAGTGAATTGAAAAATTAAGATAATGAAGGATCCTTTTCATTGCTATCCAGTGTTCATCAGTAGGTTTGTGCATGAATTAACAGACTTTGTTAATTGCAAAATAAATATCTAGTTGAGTTAGTGACATATATTATAACACTCCCATTAAAATGCGGTAATTAGAAGGATCTAAGCAAGTTGCATCCGAGAATAAAGATAATTTATAAAAAAAAGACATTAGTGAAGAAGGCGGTTTGGCATCTAACATATTTGTGCGTTGGAGAAGATTAAAGATGTGTTGACTTTGCGAGGGAAGAAGACCTTCGACTAGTTGATGTGCTTCCATGCCCAAAAAATATTTAACGTGCCCAAGGTTTTTAACGGTAAACTCATGACTCAGATTAGTGATCATTTGGGAGATAGCCAATGTACTTGATCCAGTGATCAGGATATCATCAATATAAACAAGGAGGAATAATGAAGTTGACCCGTGTCTGCAAATGAAAAGAGAAGTATCAAAGCAAGAGTTCAAAAAACTAAGAGAGAGTAAATACTCTTGTAATCGATGGTATCAGGTTCGTGGAGCCTATTTCAGTCCATAGATAGCTTTATGTAGCAGGTAAATATGATTGGGTTCACGTGCTGCTGTAAAAAAGGACAGGCGACCGGGGAGATCTCTTATGGCTTCCTCCCCTCTTCACTTTCCTCGCTGGCTATGACAAACACCATTACTTGCAAAAAAGAAACACAATAAGCAATTGATTTTAATTTCCTTCTCTCTTTCTTGGATCTGTTCTCGGGTTGATTTTTTTGCTCTGGTTTTATGTTCTTTCTTTCTTTCGGTGGCCAACTGGCATTTGTAGAGGGAGCTTTGGTTCGATGTAGCAGAGATGGGGGAAGCTGGAGATAACACTTGTTTTGGTTGCTATAGTTGAGATCGAAAGGGAAACAGACGCTACTAATGGGGAAAGAGACACTGCTGCTGGCCGGTTGAAGGTAGTTGGTCGATAGAGGGTCTAGAAGTCTGTTGGGTCTTTATAAAGGTCGACGTGCATAGAGGCTGGAGAAGGGAAGACTTGCTGGCTGAGGATGAAAGGAAATGGAGAAACAATAGAAGTCGGTTTGTGGGGAAAAGTCAGGGTGAATAAGAGAGGGAACTCTAGGTCTTGGCCAAAAGTCAAAGGGAGCCATTTTAGGAGAGGAAGATGGGGGCGAGTGTGGAGGCAGAGTGAGGAGAAAATAGAAAGTCGTGGGAGAGGCCGAAGCAAATGGTAAGTGGCGGTTATATTTGGCTAAGAGATGGAGAGTCTGCGGTCGACTAAAGAGGGAAAACGAAATGGCTAAGGGGAGAAAATGGCAGCTGAGGGGGATCTGGTTTTTGGTTTCAAAAGGAGAGGGGTGACCGAACTCTGGTTGGCTTTAGAGAAAGAAAAGATGAGTAGCCGCTTTAATGAAGTTTAGGGTTTTTTCTTTATTTTTTTCTTTATTTTTTTATCTGTTTTTGACTCTTATTTTTTAAGAAAAATTCCTCTTGTATTTTTTTCTCCCCTTGTTATATGTATTGTGAACTCAATTTATAATCAAAGTGGTTTGGTTTTCAAAATACATTATTTCCTCAACTTCTTTATTTTTTATTTTTTTTATATTTTGAAAGCGAGTAATATCAACATCAACTTAATAAGAAAAATTAATGATTGTAAAAGTAAAAGTTGAATGCGTTCAAAATACCTTTGGAAATTTAAATTCTTTTAAAATGACGTTGAAAATACTAAAAATGATGCAAATATATCAAAAATGCATTTTTCATTGTTTTTTTGCTACTTTTTATTTTTTCCTAAACATTTATAAAAAAACATAGATCAAAATTAGGGTAGCAACATATCTTACAGCCAATCCAGTCTTCCATACACACACTATGCATGTAGAGATCAATTATCATTTTGTTAGGGAAAAAGTTCAGTAAAAAACTCTTGATGTTCACTTTATATCTAGTAAAAATTAACTTGTTGATCGTCTCACTAAACCAATTATATCAGTTTGATTTATCATTAGTACTTAAAAGTGCATCTTTATCATGGTTTTATATCATCATTTTGCACGTGAAGTATCAATAACTCCTTAACTAAAGCATGTTTTATAATAATATATCTAATAATATAAGATACCTTTAATTTATGGTAAATATTCATTTTAAATGCAGGCCTATTAGATAAATGAAAGGATTGATTTATGAATTTAAGAACT